GAGGCAGCGTTTGGAGGAGCTGGAAAAGTTTCGGTGAGTTTTGGACGGATTGCTTGGATTTTTATTCATTGATTTTTTTTATTTATGCAATTCAACATTTTTGAATTACCAAAAGGCTTACCTTGCTACCTTTTCATTTTTTCATTTTAAAATTTTAAACAACGTTTTAAAAATACTAGACTTTTGAATTTTTTGGCTCGTTTTTGTTACATTTTTGACGAATGCTGAAAAAATTTTTGTCAAATCCCCCCCGCTAACACTCCAGTACCTTATGCAAACCCGCAGTCCCTGTAGACATAGGGCAAGTTTTAGGGAACCCAAAGACCCCGTCCCCCATCCCCCAATCCCTCATTCGGATAATTGAGCCCTGGGAAACGGGCCTCGGGTCCCTTGGAAAAGCTTTCCGGGCTTGGCTTCTGGATCGGCGGAAAGCTATTTCAGGGCTGCTAGCGGCCAATAGCTCGCCTTCCTTTCACATTCTAGCATCAACATCCTTTCCCTCCTCTCTCACCGTGTATGTCCACCCGCCCTTCTGCTTTCTAGATATTGGATTCTTTTTCCAACCTTTTCCAACCCCTTTTTCCAGTATATCCCAATCACCCGCGATATTTTGCTGCTGCTGTTTTCCGTATGGGTACCCTGTCATTTTGGCGCGGCTAGGAGGCCACCCTCATTTCCGCTCATATTTCTCTTGGCTTTCCCGGAGCTACGAGGTTAGCATGTGGGCGTTGGATTTGGTGCGGCTAATTTATTGCTGTTATATAGCTGTAAATCATGTTTTAAATTTGTTCCTGAATAGAGAGGCTAAATGTCGGATTTTAAATAAAATTTGGTTCCCACTCTTCCGTTCTTTTTTGCTTTTATGATTTACCATTCACTTCATGGTATTTTTGATAAACCGTCCTTAAAAAGCTATTTTTTCCCTATTTTGCTAAGTCCCGTCAAATCCATTCAAACCGCCCGGTAATAGAATTTTTTGGGACTGACATGTCATTTATTGGATTTTGCGGGGGAGCGGTTGGGTCTATATTAATTCGAAATATATCATGACTTAAAAAATAGGTGGTATTTCCTGCGAATTTTTTCGCTTTATGAGGTTTAATTTATTGAATGTTTTTCTAATTACTAGCCAATAATTTGGCTTTTAAAACTAAAGTGAATTACCTTAGAAAAAAATCAAACTTGAAAATACGTCTTATCTCCTGCAGGTTTCCTACTTGATTTTATAAAATGCAAATTATTGGAGCTCGTTGCTAGACCTTTGAAGGTATTCTGTTTTTGTTAAGGTAATTTATTTTAAGAACTATTCGATATATTTTATTTTATTTATATTACCCAGATTTCATCATACCTGGCCTGACACAACCCTACAAACCTAATGACGTGCGCTTCTCCTCCCCGAAAACTCCCCTCTTTATTCATGTCTGCTTATTCCTTCCACCCCTTTCAATGCAGAGAGAGAGAGAGAGAGAGAGAGAGAGAGAGAGAGAGAGAGAGAGAGAGAGAGAGAGAGGAGAGGAAGTACCTACTTCTTCTTCCAACCCGAAAAAGGAGAGTTGCCCCCCTCCACACGGCTTTAGAAGACATCGATTTTGGGGTGGCTGAAGGGGCCCAGAGGCTATGCGCCATATACGGGCAAAAGGAGGGAGGGATGGCTCGAGGAATCCCGGAGAGAAGAGGTGCCAAAAAGAGAGTGAGCGGGATTTGAAAGAGGAGGAGGAGGAGTAGAAGGAGGAAGAGGTATGGGGGAGCACTAAGATGAGAGATTTACGTTGAGAGAAGGAAAGAGACATCCACTTGGGGGGAGGCCCACCAACCACCACCACCACCTAGTGTACTCATACTCAAATAGGTGTCGCCTGGTCTCGTTTAAAGGATATCGAGTTTTTCTGATTTTGTCATTCTTGTTAATTTTTTGAAAAGTCGCGAAGCGGTTTTTTGCGCCTGGTATGATTCCTAATTATCTATTATTTAACATTGTCTCTACTTTTTACCACCCATTCTATAATCCCCCTACTATCCAAACCCTCAATGAAAACTAATCCCCCCTGCTGCTCCCAGTCAGCTACGCTTCGATACGCTTTACAATTCTCCCTTGCAAACTGCACGCGGCTTGCTATATAGCTAACTAAATTATTAAATAACCAAATTAATTTCTATACAGCTTCAATGCCGTTTTATTTACCATTATATTGATCATAATTTTATATTCTAGAAAACACTTGCCTCCACCGGTTTTGACGATTCCTTCGCCGCCGATACCCCCGCCACCAAAATGGATGACGACGATGAGGGCCCAGAATTTTCTGAAGACATGGCAGAAGAGAGGGAACGCTTCAGGAAAGAATCAAGGCGCCTGAAAACAGTTGGTTTTTGTTAAAAACTATTTCTAACTGGCTTTAGGTTCCCTCGAAGGATGACACAACCCAAAAGCCCGAGGAACCAGCGAAAATTGAACCGGAATCGTCTGGAGCAACAAAACCGGAAGAAGCTAGCGAAGTAGAAACCCAGAAACCAAAAACGGAAGAAATTCCGGATACTAACAACTATGAGCAACAGCCGGAACAAGCGGTTACTGAGGCTGAGGTAGCGGCACAAGAATACGACTATTCTCAATATCCCGGTGAGACGCCTCAAAAAAATTAATGAATTTTTATAGGGTGGAACCCGGAGACGCAGCAATTTGAGGGGACGTATATTGATGAGAACGGGGACGAACAGAGCTATGCCGAATATTATGCACATTATTTTAGGTAGAGCATTTCAATTTTAATTTGTACTTGATTTAGTCAACAACCATATTATGACGAGAGTGGGCAGGAGGTTGGATATGAGACGACCGAGGTGGAAAGTTATCAATATCCGGATGGAAGTTCCGCGGAATACTATCAACATGCGGAATATCCAAGTCAACAGCCGGAAGGGTCGGATGCGGTACAGTATCAGGAAGAGCAGGTTTGTTTGGAAATTCTGATATAATTATTTGATACTAAATTATCTTTCTTAATTTGGTAATTTTAGTATAACGCTGATCCGGGTACTGAAGCTGAAGCCCAGAACTACGATTATAATGCCGAAGGCGGCTATGATGCTGAATATTATAATTCACCAGAATACCGTAAATGGTATGAAGAAAATTATGGACCAGGTGAGCACCAGAGTGTACATAAAACTTGATACATAGCTCCGGCTGAAGAGCAACAATACGACCAAGCTGGTTATGATCAACAGCAATATGACGCGAATCAACGTAAGAACTAAATCATTAATACTATAATAGAAAAATCCAGATTAAGGATTCTATGAAAACCTTTGAAATTTAGAATATTATGAAAATGGGCAATCTGGTTATGACCAAGAGCAGACGAGCTACCACTATGATCAACAACAAACCGAAGGAGAATATCAGGAACCAGCTTATTCTGAGGTATTTAAATACTAATCTAATTATTGACATTGTAAAATTAGGAACAAAATTATCAAGAAGAGCCCGCACAAGCTGAAGTTCCAGTCGAAACCCATCACCAACCTCCACCACGACCGCCCACCGTAATAAAACCACTCTTTGAAGCGCCGTGAGTTTTACTGAATCTTAAAAAAACTTTTAAACGAAACTTTAATTAATTTTTTGAATTAATTTTGAAATAAAAAATATATCTTTTAGACCTGTAAAGTCAGACGAGTTTGGTTGGGGATCCGAAGAAACGGCAGAAGCACAGCACCCCACTGCTCAAGCTCCACCTCGACCTCCACCATCCCCGGCCAGACCCCCGCAACCCACTCATAAAGAAGAAACATCATCTCCTGAAACGCCATCAAAACCTGTAGCCGGTAGGATATACAAGAAGTAAAGTTTGATGGAATTTTAGCCCCCGAACGACCTCCCCCAGCATCTCGACCCCCACCCCCTCGACCAGCCCCGCCACCAGTACCTAAAAAGGAAGAGCCGAAAAAGGAAGAACCAGAAGAAGATGCTTGGACTCAATTCCAGAGAATGACGGCTAAGGTAAATAAAAAATATTGTCTCTTTATCATCCACTTTTTAGGCTACGGAAGCTGTAAAATCGACTGGCGAACGACTAAAAGATCTTGAAGAAACGACAGCCGCTAAAGATATTAAGGATGAAAGCTACTTGGCAGGAGTTGGGTATGTTTAAATGGAGGGTAAATATTTATAATTATAATTGTTCAGAGGAAGCCAAGGCTATAATGAAAATCTCGCCCAACAGGAAATCCGACGTCGTCTCGAAGAAAAGAAAAATGAAAAGTTATTGAAGAAAAAGATGAAGCAACAGGTGGCGAATTAAGGGTCAAGCTTTCATTACAGGTTTAGGGAAAACGGGCGGCCTCTCCAGAATATACGCTAGATGATCAAGAGAAGATGGATCGAGCATCTGAGGAATTGGCACGACAAATGGCTGCGAAGATGGCGGTTGGGCCTGGTGATGCTGCTCTGGTCGGGTGGAAGGCTCCGGAGGCTCCTCCACCAAAACCGACGATAGTTCCGGCTCCTGATCGGAAGGATTCTGCACCACCGGATGCCATTCCTCCCCGGAAAAAGTGGGTTGAGAGAGATTCGGTCATTTCCGTATTTCCGTATTTCCCCGGCAGTAATAATGCCTCAAAAGCCAATTTTTAGGTCCTCAATAAAAGAGGCTCATCAAGAATCCTCGTCCCTCGATCTCCCATCTCATGCTCCTTTAACCTTCCAGCAAAGTGCGGATAGTGCCCAACCGATCGGAGATTTGTGAGTTTTATGCTCTTCCTCGCTTTGTACTAAACCTTAAGACACTACCCCTTTAAAGCCATCTTTCCAGCCATCCCGATGACCCGGCCCTCACCGCACCAAGCTGGGCTGACTTTGAAGCTTCAGCCCCAGAACTTCCCCCTAGTGAATCTGGATTCTTCTCAAAAGATTCGGAGGTAAGTAAAACATCGATATCCATATCCAACATTTTTAGGGAACATCAACCGTCACAAAAGCTGGAGACCCATTTGCTATGCCACCAAAAGAAGACCCATTCGCCGCCCCAGCTGATGCTAATCTTTTTGATGATGTAAGCTATTAAGAATTGTAATTTATCATCGAGTTGTTTAGAATTACGACCCATTCGATGTACGTCCAGTGGAAGACATCGTAGCGGCAGCGAAGGCAAAAGCCGAGGCGGCAAAGATGTCGTCAGATGGGCAGGATGATGATTATTTTGGGGCAACGGATAGGCGGTAAGTTATACGTCTGGTTCTCTATTGCATCTTTTTTTTTAATTCCAGCTCAAACCTATCAACGCCTACCCAAGAAGGCGGGAGCCCAATAAGTGCGAGGCCTACAGGATTTGAGGATGAGTTCAAGTGCGAGGTAGGCCTTATTGAGCTTAAGGTAACTTGTTAATAGCGAGGCTCGAATGGGTCAACACCAACGCCACTTTATGATGAGGACGATTCACAACCGTTGGACGATTACATCCCAAAATTTATTGGAGAAGGCTGGGAATTGATGATAAGGTAGGTGAGAGAGAGAGCGAGAGAGAGAGAGAGAGATTTAATTTGTTTATTCGAATTACCTATGACTTTCCAGACATCCATTAAAAAAGAAAATCATGGCCGATCGATTCTGGAAGCCCTGTTTTGTCCGACTACACGGCAATACCCTGATCGTCTTCAACTCCAAAAATGACAACAAGCCCATCCAAGAACTCCTCCTCCAGGCCACCTACAGTCTATCTGACACCACCTTGCAGGTATTTTTTTAATTATTTTAGTTTATGCAAATTTAGGCCTACGATGTCTACGGTAAAATCCACACCGTCAAACTGCAGTACGTGCAGTATAAAGAACGCGTGGGAATTCGGCCAGGTGGGAAATTTTTTGGGATTTTTAAAGATTTTTATGTAGGCCAAATTTCGAGGCTTGTGGAGGGACATGTCACAAAATATGGGTTACCGTTGGAGCATTCGGCACAGTGCAATGTGTTGCTGAAGGTACTGTAAACATTCAAAAATTGAAATAGAAGAATTGCAGTTTGGCTCGCTGAATGCCGATGAGTTGCAATCGTTTGTGAACACGATTGAGGATGTGCTATTTAAATGTCCGGCAAAAAGGGATACAAAGCCGCAGTATAAGCAAGATGAGGTTCAGGTGAGATTAGGTTTTTAGGGTTGTTACGTACTTGAAAGCTGGCATTTATAAGCTTTTCTATAATTATGATTAAATTACATGAGTAGCTAATAATAAAAATTTTAATTATACAATCAAAAAGCATTTTTTAGATCCACTGCTACGATGAATACACAGCACACGTCGATAAACTCGGAATCGTCTCGGACCAACGAGCCAGAGTCCGCATGTTCTGTCTGGCCTTCGTTTCCGGTTCCCCCTTCCTTGAAATTGGCCTCAATGACAGAAGACGACAAGGAAAGGTATAAAAAAATCAATGTCGACATCCTAAATTACTTTCTAGGAAATCGTCCGACGAAAAGACATCCTGCCCATGTATACCGAACGCTGGATCCGATTCGAAAACCTCGAGGTAGATTAATAGCAGTGAAAGTTAATGGAAAAATTTCGTGTAGTTCCACAATACTGTCGAACAGCCAGCTTTCGAAAGTGAACAGGTCATCCGACTACAGCCACCAGATGGATGTTTCTTTGAGGTTTGAGGCTTACCTACATCTTAGATAATTTGCGTGCCAATATTCTGAATATTACTTTTTCTCATAAAACATAATTAGATCATGCGCTTCCGAGTCCGACCACCAAAAAATCGTGAAAAGGCGTTGACGGTGAAGTGTATTATGAAGATTGCTGGTTCCAAGGTGGGTTCCAAACAATTTATCTTTCTTTGTCTCTGTCTCTGTCCTCTCTCTCTCTCGCTGTCCCTTTAATAAGTTATTTTTAGGTCGAAATCCGTATGGAAGCAATGGCTGCTGCTCAAGTCGAAAGGTCCAAAGGTGGAAAAGCCACCCGACGGCAAATTCCTTGCGAAGATATTGTGATACGGTAAAATCAGCGCATCATAACATCCAATTCGGCTTAGATTCCCGATTCCGGAAGCTTGGATCTATATCTTCCGCGAGGAACGACATTGGGGTGTTGGATCTGTGCATTCCAAGAAGTTGAGGCCCGGCAAAGTCAAGGTGGGCTGTTCAAACTACCAAAACCAACTTCATTTTCCCTTCAGAATTTGAAAGATCGGCTTCTCGGAGCTGTACAACAAAACGAGAGCAACTTGATTGAGGTAAATTAAGCTTAATATAGTAAAAACAAGATTTCTAGGTAGCAATCGGCGAAGCAAAATACGAACACGTCTACCGTAGCCTGGTGTGGCGTATCCCTCGCCTTCCCGAGAAACATCACGCCGCCTACAAAGCTCATCTCCTAAAATGCCGATTCGAGCTGTCCTCCTTTGATCTGATGCCCGAAACATTCCTCCCCAACGTGGACGTTGATTTCACGATGCCCCTGGCTACTGTATCAAATACAGTAGTCCGATCGGTATCTGTAGAACAGCACGAGGACTCGGATCGAGTCGAGAAATACGTGCGCTATGTGGCGAAATGCCGGAATAAGGTGGAGATCGACTACATTCAATGCGCCGATCTGGATGTGGATGCGGTGGCAAATTCGGAGGCTAATCCTGAGGATACGATTGCTATTCCGGAAATGCATAGGCCGGCGATGCATCCGACTGATGTAGCGGATATGCATGAAGGGTTGGTTAAAACAATAAAAGTACTCTGTTTAGAACATTTTAAACGGTTAGGAAAATCAACAGCTTAACGGAATTCTTACAATTATGCAATGTAAATTAAAAACGGAAAATAGCCTTCTATAAAATTCAAAACCTAATGAATGCAAAAAAAATATTTTACTAGAACTAATAAATTAATTTGTTGTTATTTAGTTTTTGCGTTTTTTGCCCTAAATCCATATTTTCCTATAATTCTCCGTTTATTTTCACCTTATAAATCGATTTCCAGCTACCGTATCAATTTACCCGAGGCCCAATTCAAACGTGATGATAGCAGCTCCGATGAAGATGAAGCCAAAACCCAATTCCCAACAATCAAAATTGACATGAGTAATTACGGATATTAACCCATATGTCAAAA